AGGTGCTGCGGTGCCTGATGCTGCGGCTGGTGTCTGCGGCCGCGGCCACCAAGCACCCGCAGCTGATGCTCCGCCGGACAGAGAGCGTGGTCGAGAAAATGCTAACCAACTGGCTGGCGCTCTGCATGTACGGCTATCTGAAGGTGCGTCGAGGGCGAGATGCTGGAGATGTTGATGCTGGACATGTAGATGTTGGAGATGTAGCGAAGGAGATTTGAATTTGGATTAAATAGCTTGGGGGAAGGAATTGTGATGGAGATTAAGCCCTTTTTTATTTTGTATTATTTTAATAGTTTTGTGTACTTTCATATGGAGAAAACAAAGTAATTAAGATAAAATAAAATTAAAATTAAATTTCTCCATCACATTCGTAAGTTTATATCACTTGATATTAACCATCTCACCGACTCTCTCCTTCCCCTCCCCCTTTGCGGCACCCCCATCCCTCCTTCCCCTCCCCCCCCTTCTACAGGACGACGCCGGCACCGCCCTGTTCCTGCTGTACAAGGCCATCAAGCACCAGGTGGAGAAGGGCCCCGTCGACGCCCTCACGCACGACGCCCGCTACTCGCTCTCGGAGGAACGCCTTCTCAGGGAGCAGGTCGACTTCAATCCTGTGGTGAGTAACCGATTAATCCCCCCCCCCCCCCATCCTCCTCTCCTCTCCCGTCCTCTCCTATACCTTCCTCTCTTCTCCTTTCCCCTCCTTTCCTTTCCTTTTCTTACCTCTCCTCCTCCTTCTCTCCCTCCCTCTCCTCCTCCTCCTCCTCTCCCTCCCTCTCCTCCTCCTCCTCTCCCTCTCCTTTCCTCTCCTCTCCCTCTCCTCTCCTCTCCTCTCCTCTCCTCTCCTCCTCCTCTCCTTTCCTCTTCTCTCCCCTCCCCTCCCCTCCTCTCCTGACCTTTTGCCCTTTTCCTCCCTTCCTTCATTCCCATTCCCCTTTCCTCCCCATTCGGGATTCTTTTCCTTTGATTCCATTCGTTGATTCCTTCCCCAGTTCCCTTTCTCTTCCTTTCACTGTTTCTCTTCCTCTTCCTCTTCCCTTTCTTTCCCTTTCTCATTCTCCTTCCTTGTTGCCCCCTCTTACACCCCCATTCCCTATTCCTCATTCTCAATTCCTCATTCCCCGTTCCCTATTCCTTATTCCATTCTCCCCCCATCCGTATTATATATATACATTTTTTTTTTTTTTCAAATTCCTATACAAATTCACTACCCTCCCCCTCCCCCCTCCCCCCTGCTGCTGCATTAGCCTCTCTATGCTTGGGACAGACGAACACTTGCCTCATTTGCCTCATTTGCCTCACGTTTGCAATAATGAGGAAAATAATTAACCGGTGGAAACATACCGGCTATTTTTGAAATGTGTTCGTTTTATATTTTCATTTTCTCTCATTTCCTGTCCCGAGGTCATGGAAAAGCGGTGCGGATAAGCATTGGGGGGGAGGAGGGGGATGGGGGGCTAGAATCCAGTTTAAAAAAAATGCTTGTGGGCATACTTACCTGCTGTTTAAATGAAATAAATACAAACACATGTTTTCCCCTGAGATAAATACATCATATACATACAAATATGCATACAGACGCGTGCATACACACACACACACACACATACACACACACACACACACACACACACACACACACACACACACACACACACACACACACACACACACACACACACACATATGCATACATAACCTAACCCATAAACAAAATAATAATCCTAAAACAAAAACCATAATAATAAATAAAACATCACTAGTCCAACCCCTTCACCCCCACCCCAACCCTTACCCCCCTTTCAAGAAAAAAAAAAAATAAATAAAACAATTCCATGAAAACACCAACATAACACCTCCCTCCCTCCCCCCTCCCCCACCCCCACCCACCCCTTCCCAGAAAAAAAAAACTTAAAAATTCAAAAATTCCAAGAAAACACCAACAGAACACTTCCCCTTCCCCTCCCCCTCCCCCTTCTTCCCTTCCCCCCCCCTACTTTCCCCTCCCCCCCCTCCTTGCCCAAGAGGGAAGTAGAGTCTCCTCCGGGAGTCTTACGCAGAGTCTGCTTGCTGGTGGTGCTTGCTGGGTGTTTAAAGGGAGCTTGGGAGGCGCGGGTCTCGGCGGTCGCTGCGGGCGCGCTTTTGCTAAAAAAGGCCTTCATGTTTATTAATGCTAAAAGCTGGTGTTTTTTGTCATTATTATTATTATTTATTTATTTATTTATTTATTTTTTACTATTATTACTGTTATTGTCTTTTTGGATTTTATTGATGTTGCAGGGTGGTCCTTTTTTGGTGTGATTCTTCGTTATTGTTGTTGTTGTTTTTGGGATTGTATTTGTTTATTTGTTTGTGTTGTCTTGTTGATTTTTGTTTTCGGTTGGGTTTGTTTGTTTGTTTCGTTTCGTTTTTGTCGTTTGTTGTCTTCAGGTGTGATTCTTTTATTTTATTTAAGAGAGAAAAGGAAGGAAAAAGAGGAAGAAGAAAAAGAAAAAAGGAAAGAAAGGAAGAAAAAGAGAAAGAGAGATAAAGAGAAAGATAAAAAGGTTGTTTCGTTTCTCTCTTCTCCCTTTCCCTCTTTTGAGTTCGTTTTAAAATCAATAGTTGCCAATAAAACCAAATAATAAAAATAGAAAAAGAAACAAAATAAAGATAAGAAATGAAATATGAAAATAAAAATAATAATGATAAAAAAAATAAAGATAAATAATACGATTGAAAATAACGTTCTCTCCCCCCCCCCCCCACCCCCCTTCAGGCATTTCGAGTCCGTTAAATGAACCTTAATTTTATTAGGATCATATCTGTATTTTTGAAGGGGGAGAGGGGGGGAGGGAGAGAGGGAGAGAAAGAGAGGATTTTTTTTCCCTTGCTCCCTCACTCCCACTCCCCCCCTCCCCCATCCCCCCTCTCCCTCCCGCCTCCCCTCCCCTCCCCTCCCCCCCTCCCGCCTACCCCCCCACTCCCCCTCCCGCTCCCCCCCCCCCCCCTCTCCCACGCCGCTAATACCCAAATGCCATCAATAAGGGGCGTCAGAGGCCTCCTTTCCCGCCCGGGTATTGACTCCGCGATGAAAAATGGCGGAATATGAGAAATTGGGCGGCGTTTTTCCTGCGACGACGAGAGGGGCTTTTTGACACGCCCCATTCCTCCTCCTCCTCCTCCTCCTCCTCCTCCTCCTCCTCCTCCTGGTGTCGTGGCCTCGCGTTTTTTTTTTTTTTTTTTTTTTTTTTGGGGGGGGTGAGTTTTTTTCTAGCCTATCTATTCTTTTTTCTTTTTTTTCTTCCTTGCTTCGTCTTTCGTTCATTCTTTTCTTTCCCCGTTTCTCCTCTTCATTCTACTTCATTTCCTCTCCTTCCTACCCTATTTCCTTCCTTCTGTTCCCTAGTTCTCTTTTTCGTTACCTTTCCGTCTTTCCCTTTCGTCTTGAAAGAAAAAAAATATGAAAGAAAATGATACTTCGAAAATATCATTCAACTTTTTTTCATCTGTTATTGAATTTCTCTTCTCCTTTGACTGTTGTTCTTCCAGGTGTTATGAGGACGTGTTTCCGGATGTTCTTCGAGAACATTTTTTTTTTTTCTGTGAGAAATTGTGTCGTTTTAATTTTATCTTCATTTTCTTTTGTCTTCTTCACTTTTAAGTTGTTTAATCTGTTTTGTTTTTTCTCTCTCTTTCTCTCCGCGTTCTGTCGTATCTCTTTTTCTCTTTCTCTTTCCATCTCCCTCGCCCTCTCATTTCCTTCTCTTCCGTTCTCTCCTTCATTCGCTGATGTCTTGATTTTTTCGAATAAGAGAGTGATATAGAAAGAAAGAAAAACGGAAGGGAGGAAGGAAGGAAACAAAGAGGAAGATAAAGAGAGAAAGAAAGGGAGAGAGAAAGGTGGGGGGATGGAGGGGGGGCATTCATAAGGAACCCCAAACTCTACCCCCCCCCCCCCCACCTCCTTAAGAACGGCGTCTTTTCTTGAATGGCCGATCATTTAGTTAACTACCGCCCCTCACCCCCATTCCCTCCTGCCCCCCCTCCCCTCTCCCTCCTGCCCCCCCCCCTCTCCCCTCTCTCTCCCCAATCGCAGCTCTTTCGTTATACCGTTTTTTTCCGAAATCCATCTTCATTCCGTTCGTCAATTCGTCTCATTTCCTCGTCTGTTTTTTCCCGTTCTCCTCTCCTCCCCATTCCCCTTTCCTCTCCATTCCACTCCCCTTTCTCTCTCTCTCTCTCTCTCTCTCTCTCTCTCTCTCTCTCTCTCTCTCTCTCTCTCTCTCTTTCCCTTTCTTTCCCTTTCTTCCATTCCCCGTCCTTCGTCCTTCCCTTCTCCCACACCCTCTGTTCTTTTTTTTCCTTCTGCCTCCCTCTTCCTCTTTCAAATCCCTCCTACACCTTCCTTTATTTCCCTAACCTTTTCCGTTTCCCCCTCTCACCTTTCCCCTCATTCTCCCTCTTCCTTCCATTCTTTCCTTTCCCCTCTCTACTCCCCTTTTTTTCTCCCCTCTCTCATTTCCTCCCCTCTTTCTATTCCCCGCTTTCCTTTTCTCCCCTTCTCCCCCTCTTTTTCCCTTCTCCCCCTCTTTTTTCCCTATTTCTCCCCTCACTCAGTTTCTCTTCTCTTTCTTTTCCCCGCTTTCCTTTCCTCTCCTTCTCCCCTTTTCCCCCTCTTTTCTCCCCATTTTTCCCCTCTCTCATTTTCTCCCCATTTTTCCCCTCTCTCATTTTCTCCCCATTTTTCCCCTCTCTCATTTTCTCCCCTCTTTTCCCCTCTCTCATTTTCTCCCCTCTTCTCTCTCTCGCGTGCCGAGGGCCCATTCACAGGTGCCGTTTCGAGCACATATTGAAAAATTGCCACATCTTAGTAAATTGCATAATCAATGAGGTTGTGCGTCCTTTTGCGGTCAACCGAAGAGGGGGGGAGGGGGGTAGAAGGTGTATTACGGAATTGCGGTATGGAAGAGAGGAAGGAGGAGGAAGAGACGAGAAGAGAAGAGATGTACGAAAGAGAGGAAGGTTATTGAGTGAAAAAAATCTATGGTGTGTTTGTTGTTTCTTGTTTTGTTTGTCTTGTTTTATTTTGTTTTGATTTTCGATGGTGTTTTTTGTGTGTGTCAGGGTAAGGGATACCGACGAGATCTGAACGGCCAGCATCACCACGAGCCCGCCCACAACCCTTGTAAAACACACACACACAATCACACACACACACACAATCACACACACAGTCACACACACAATCACACACACACGGAGCATACGCCACCACCGTCTACGCACACATACAAATACGCACCCAGCACATTCCTCCTCGCAATTTATGCATTAAAGGATAAATCCATGAATGAGAAATGAAATCCCCCCTTCCCCCCCCTTCCCCCCATCTCTTGTATCTTGTATTCTTTTTTTTCTCTACATATCTGCATGTCATATTATGTTGTGGTCATGTCTCTCTAGCCAGACGGTTTGCCGTTGCCTTAGCGTGTGTTTTCTGAAAGAGTTACGAGGGAAAAAGTACCTTAGAGTCGTAGATGTGTGTCCATATATATATATATATATATATATATATATATATATATATATATATATATATATATATATATATATATATATATTGTAGGGGACCGACCTACAGGATGCTTTTTTCTAACATCACGTTGACTTTTTTCATCATAATTAGTTTTATTTTTTTTTAATCATGGGATGAAATTGGGGTGTCACAGTGGGACGAGATGAAAGGTGCGAATGAGGAGGAGGAGTAGGAGGAGGAAGAGATGAAAGGAAGTGGGAGGGACGCAAAGAAAAGAATAAAGAGAAGGAGAAGAGGTAGAAGAAAATCCTCGTCTCCGTAAGTCTTCCACCTCTCATTCCCCTTCTTCTTCCTATTTCCCTCTCCTCCCTTTCTATATCCCTACGTCCTCACTTCCTCCTTCTCCTCCCCATCCTCCCCTTCCTCCTCCTCCTCATACCTCCCCTTCCTCCTCCTCCTCATACCTCCCCTTCCTCCTCCTCCTCCTCCTCCTCCTCCTCCTCCTCCTCCTCCTCCTCCTCCTCCTCCTCCTCCTCCAACCCCCCTCCCACCTCCCACCCCACACACCCCATCCTATATAAAAAAAGAAAAAAAAAATCAAGGAAAAAGCCAGGAAACCGCGAAGTGCCTCTCCGAGCCCCACCCTCCTCCTCGGGGATTCCCTCCTTGAGCAGGCGATGACTTCCTCCTGTAATCAGCTTCCTGTTCTCTTCCTTGCAGAACATCCACCTGCTTCATGATGACCCTCACTATGAAAAAATACCCTACCAGACGACCTATAGTGTATGTATGCCTGGGGAGCTGTTACTCATACTTTGTTTCCTGTCAACATAGCCACGACTTTCCCCCTTTTTTTGTTTTTTTTTTTTCTTTTTTTTTTTTGTTTTTAACTCGTGTATTTTACTTGTTACTACTTCCGTATGCGCGATGTGTGTCCATGACTCCTCTGAAGGACACAAGGCTGTCATGGGTTTGTCATGCTTTAAGGGGGTGGGAGGGGAGGGGAGGGGAGATGAAAGTGTTAAGGAACAGGGTCTTATCACACGAGTGGGGGAAGAGAGGGAGGGGTAAGAAAGAAGAGAGAGAGGGGGGGGGGAAGGATAATTTCTGTGGGTGTGTAGAGCTTCCTTAGTGTGTATTTCTTAGTGTGGGTGCTTTGGCCGTACTAACCAGCCTGGGTTTGTGTTCCTCTCAGCGGGCTTCTTGGCAGGGGAGAGAGACGTCTTGGCTTCGTCTTAACTCTTGATGTGAAATGTTTACTTGCTTAATTATACATGTTTTTTTTTTATGTAAACATTACGGTACCTCTGCCATTTACGCTGCGAGAGAGAACGACAAAAAAACAAAGCAAAAAAAACATATGCATGTATGTATATTAGTAGATATACATGCACGCATATCTGGGCCTAGAATGGGTTATTAACATGATTAACAACAGCTCTAACCATTGGAGAGAAAAGAATATAAGCTTAAATCATACTGAATACTGATTTAACAATTCAGACAAGTTAAAATGACAGCCTAACGAATAATTAAAAAGACCGGGAATAAGAGACAGTGCGGTGACCTTCACGAGCCAACCTGACGCGGCCGTGGAGTTTTTTTTTTGTGTTTAATAAAGAGACAAAGTATAGTACCAGTGACCTGCTTTCCCCCGCCCACGTAGCGTTCCCTCACGCCCGTCGGGAGGGGAGAGAGGGAGGGAGGGGCGTGATGGAGCAGGAAGGCGCCCTCCTCCTCCTCCTCCCTTCCAGAAGGAAGGAGAGAGAGGGAGAGCCTTGCTCACGCCCTCTCACTCCCCCCCCCCCCCCTCTTTGCCCCTCCTGGCGTTCCCTCTTAGTTTTTATTTTTTTTTTAGTCTTAGCAATACCTCTTTCTTAGACTTTTAACCCCTTAGTGTCTGTCGAGTGATTCTCTTGTCTTGACTCTCTTTGTGTGTATGCAACATTTGCAACACACTTTCTCTTAAGCCTTGCACGACCCACTCGTTGTATGTTGATGATGATGATGATGAACCTGACTCTTGCATCCTTGTTGCACAGTTCTTGCCTTGCAAATGCACCATCCCGTGCACACCATTGAATCACAGTCACACCTTGATAACCATTAACAAAACAAAAAGAAAAGAAAAAGAGAGAGAAAAAACAGAAAGACCTTTAGAAAAAAAAAGAAGAAAAAAGGTATCCATTACCCCTCTTTATACTAACGCTCTCCCTTCCCCTCTTTCTCGTCTCCCCCCCCTTGCAGACGCTGGCCATGTACGCCGAGGAGTACGAGGAGAAGGTGCAGGTCAAGGTCCTGGACTGCGACACCATCACGCAGGTCAAGTCGAAGATCCTGGACGCCCTCTACCGGAACACGCCGCAGTCCCTCCGACCCTCCGTCCACGAGGTCGACCTTGGTAAGTAGAGGGAAGGGGGGGGGAGGGAGGGAGCTCGGCCTCGACTTTTTGGGAGGTGGAGGTGGGGTGGGTGGGGGATAGGGGTGGGAGGGTGGGAGGTGAGGTCTAAGGGGGGGGTTTGGGGGGGAGGGTGTTAAGTCTTATAGGGGGCTTTATTCTTTTGGGTTCAGTTAGTTTGGTTTATCAGTAGTGTTTTTGAGATTGTTATTATTATTATTACTATTAGTAGTAGTCGTATCAATGATTATTATTATTATTGTCATTATTATTATTATTATTATCATTATCATTATCATTATTATTAATGTTGTTACTGTTGTTGTTGTTGTTGATTTGCGTGCGTGATTGATTATTCTTATACTGATGCTGTGGATGATTGTGCCATCTGACTCCTTTTTTATCATTGTTCTCTTAGATTTAAATACTTATTTGTTGTATTTTTAATGTAGACCTTGAATTGATGCGCGTGGTAAAAGCCCAGTTCTAAATGTTGACTCTCGCATTTCAATCGTTTTTAAAACGCGATTTATTGCAGTCAGTTTCATTACAAAATTTTAAACGCCGCTTTTTATGCTAGTTTTTCATCTTTTGTTTTCATTTGTTTTCATTTGTTTTTATCTCTTTCCCCTCTGAAATAACTCGTTTTAGAAGATCTCAAAATTCAGCCCCGTAGGACTGGCGGGGAAACGCACTGTTTACCTCCAGGACTGTACCGCGCATTGCTCTATTATCGGGGATTTTGTCGTAAATTCTCTCGTCTTTCTTTCTTTCTTTCTTTCTTTCTTTCGTGTGTATTTCTTTTCTGGGATTTTCGCCTTGATTTTTTTATCTCTTTCTATTCCTCTTTGTTCTTGTGATCTCTCTTTTTGTCTTTCTTTTTCTTTTGTCTATCTCCCTCTTTCTTTTTTCTCTCTCTCTTATTCGTCTTCTCTTTTTTCTCTCTCCTCTTTGTTCTCTCTCTTCTCTGTTTCTCCCTCCCTCTCCCCCCGTTTTTTTTTGTTTCGTCTTGATTTTTTCTCCCCTTCTTTTCTTCCTGTTTTCTTTCTCCATCCGCACGCAAATATCCACACGCAATTATCCACACGCAATTATCCACACGCAAATATTTCTCTACCAACCAACTAACTTTCTTTCCCCCTTCCCCCTTCTCCCCTCCCCCTCCTCCCAGAATGGCGTCACGGGCGCGCCGGGCGGGTGACACTCAGCGACGAGGACCGCACGACGCTGACGGGCGTGGGCGGGTGGCGCCGCGTCAACACCCTCGCCCACTACGGCGTCAGGGACTCGGCCGTCATGGCGCTGATCCCGAGGCAGAACGACTCCTTCTCGTCCAACTGTGAGTAGCCTTTTGTTTGTTTGTTTGTTTGTGTGTGTTTGTTTGTGCGTGTGTGTGTTTGTGCGTGTGTGTGTTTGTGCGTGTGTGTGTGTTTGTGTGTGTGTGTGTGTGTGTGTGTGTGTGTGTGTGTGTGTGTATGTGTATGTGGATAGATGGATGGATGGGTGGATTAATGAATTGATGGACTAGTTTATTGATAAATAAATAGAATATATAAATAGATAGATAGATGGATTATGCATACATATACATGTACATGTATGTGTATATATTCATATATGTGTATATGTACTGTATATGTATGTATATACGTGCTGTATATATTGCATATACTTTGTATGTATACTTTTTCTTTTTTTGAGAAGTATATAGATTTTTCTATTTTTGGAGTTTTTTCCCTTTTTTCCACTTTTTTCACTTTTTTTATACCAGTATATTTTTTTTTCTTATTTTGTATTGGGTGGGGTTAGGGGGAGGGGGAGGGGGGGAGAGATGCCAGACCCTGCATGGCGACGTTGCTGGATGTTGCAAGCGCGTGCTCGTTCTCAACGATCTCGTAACTCTGTCTGTGTTTTTTTTCTTTTTTTTGTGTGTGTTTGAAAATTGAGATTGAGTTTTATTTTCTCTCTCTCTTCAATTCTTCCCTTTCATATTCTTTTCCTCCTCCTCCCCTTCCTCCTCGTCCTCTTCTTCCTCCCTTTCCTCCTCCTCCTCCTCCTCCTCCTCCTCCTCATCCACCTCCCCCTTCTCTCTTCTTCTTTTCACCTTCATCTACCTTCTTCTCCCTCCCCATCCCCCTCCCCCTCCCCCTCCCGCTCCCCCTCCACCTGCTCCCCCTCCCCCGCATAATTCATGTGCGGGGATTTAACCGCAGATTTAACTCTCTCTCTATCTTTTTTGAAAACCGACTCTCCATGAAGCCGCCGGAGCCCTGCCTCGCGCGGCCTCTCCGGCTTAAGACAACTTCTGAGGCAATTGTCTTCGTTGGCGCAGTCCTTGAGCCTCCGTGAGATGCGGTCGAGTCGTTAATCGTTGCGTCTCGAGGAGCAGGGTGTCAATTTTATTTGGGGGGGACGGGGGAGGGGGGTGGGGCAGGAAGAGGGGTATTCGCATTTTTTCCGTTCTTTTATTGGTATGTTTGAGGTCTCCTTGCTTGTTCCTTTTTTTCGTTTAATTCGTCATCATCTAAACCAAATAAATATATGTTTCTTGATTTTTTCCGTCTCGTAATAATTTCCATCCTCTTTATCTTCATGTCTCTCTCTTTCTCTCCTTCCTTCCCTTCCCTAGCGTTCCCCCCTTCCCCCTCCCTCCATTATCGTCATTCCCGCATTTCCCATCCGCCGGAATGCTGTATCCTGTCCGTCTCGTCCACTCCTCGTTCGTCAAAATTATGATAATTTTTTTTGCCCTCGTTCTCTGTCTGCCTCTCTCTCTCTCTCTTTATCTCTCTCTCTCTCTCTCCCTCTCTCTCCCTCTCTCTCCCTCTCTCTCCCTCTCTCTCTCTCTCTCTCTCTCTCTCTCTCTCTCTCTCTCTCTCTCTCTCTCTCCCTCTCCCTCTCCCTCTCTCTCCCTCTCTCTCCCCCCCTCTCCCTCTCTCTCTATCCATCTCTGTTCCTCTCTCTCTCCCTCTCTCTCTCTCTCTCTCTCTCTCTCTCTCTCTCTCTCTCTCTATATATATATATATATATATATATATATATATATATATATCCCTCTCCCCCCATCCCTCTCTCTCTCGCGCGCTCCTCTTCTCTCTCCTTTCTCCTCTCTCCTCTCTCGGTTTCCGCTCACGCCCTCCTTTTGGATGTATTAACGCTCTCTCTATATGCACACGTCTTTCAGTCGGCTGAACAGCATGAATAATGGAGATCTTGATTTTAGCCATGAGTCTTGGGGAGGAGGGAGGAGGAGGGGGATGTAGGGAGGAGGGAGGAGGAGGGGGACGTAGGGAGGAGGGAGGAGGAGGGGAGGTAGGGAGGAGGAGGGGGAGGTAGGAGGGAAGGGGAAAGGGGGGTAGGAGGGAGGAGGGGAGGGTAAGGGGGGTAGGGAGGAGGGAGGAGGAGGGGAAGGTAGGAGGGAAGGGGAAAGGGGGGTAGGGAGGAGGGAGGAGGAGGGGAAGGTAGGAGAGAAGGGGAAAGGTGGGTAGGAAGGAGAAGGAGGAAGGGTAGGAGGGGGAAGGAGGGGGAAGGAGGGAAGAGGCGATCGCCAGGCGTCTTGGTTGGCGTGGAAAAAAAGGAGGAGGAGGAGGAGAAAAAAAAGAAAAGAAGAAGAAAGGGGAAAAGGGAAGAGGATGTATGGATGGAGAAGGAAGACGACGTTAAAGAAAAAAATCGTTTGTTCCTGAAAAGGATGGGGGTAAATGCAGTTTTATAGATTGATAGATATGTAGATAAGAACAGGCTTTTGGGAAGTACTAGATAAATAGGAAGAGATCGATAACCTGCAAAGTTTAGGTCTTTACGGAAGGAGAAGAAGGAGAAAGAGAGAGAGGGGGAGAGGGAGACGGAAAGAGAGAAGGAGATGGAGAAGGAGAGGGAGAGGGAGACGGAGAAGAGGTGAAGAGCTAGAGGCAAGGAGAAGAAGGAGAAGAAAACCTACAGTTATATGTCACTCTTTCTCTTCTTGCAAGATTCACATGCCGTCAGAGAATTCCCCTCCCCTCCCTTCCCCCCTCCCCCCTCCCCCTGACCCACACTCGCACACATCCCGTCTTTATTTCGGTCTAGTGCTCACCCTCTCCGCTAGATGTCTCCCTCAACACCCACAACCCCCCTCTCCTCCCCTCCCCTTCCCTCCCCTCCCTTCCATTCCCCTCCCCTCCCCTCCCCTCCTCTCCCCTCCGCCATTCATTCCAGCCGTTTCCCCTCTATTCCCAGTTCATGGCAGTCGGTGGGGGGGGGGGGGGTTGCAGAGTGAGATACCCCTCCCTGTCTCCCCTCTCTCTCCCCTCTCCCCCCCGCCCCCCCTAGCCCGTACCCCTTCTAATCCCATGATTGAATTAACTTTACGACAGTTTTCCACTCGGTGACTGATGCATTTTCATGAGACTTTTTTTCTTTTAAGAGCGTGTGTGGGACTGTGGGATTGTGGGGGCTGTGTGTGGGGGGTGGGGTGGGGGCGTTGTTTCCTTTAGGGGGGAAGTGGAAGGAGACGGAAGAGGGAGAAGGAGAAGGAGAAGGATAATTGGTGAAGAGGGGGAGGGGAATGAATATGGAGGAGGAGGAGAAGGAGAGGAGGTAGAATGAGAAGAAGAAGAAGAAGAAGAAGAAGAAGAAGAAGAGGAAGAGGAGGGAGAAGGAGAAAAGAAGAAGACGAAGAAGAAATGGCGCGGGCTGGGGGGGGGATGTTAGTATTTTATCACCGCGACGGCATTATCAAATCAGTATCACAGGCGATGATCGGAAGGAAGTTGCAATTCCAGAACCGCAGGCATTATCATCGCCATCATCATTGCAACTTCGGGAACGACGGGGGCTCAATAACGCCTTCCTAATCGTCTCCGCCGCCACATTCATCATCTTCGTCGTCGTCGTCATCGTAATTGTTATCGTTTATCGAAGGGAAGTCTCTAATAGACAGATTAGACCGTCTGTGGGCGTGGCTGTGGAAGTGGGCGGGAACTTCCTTCGCGTGGCGGGGGTTTGGGGGGATGTTGGCGCCTTGTATACATCGCTGTGTGTGTGTGATGGAGGAGGAGGTGAGGGGGGAGGGGGAGGGGGAGGAAGGAGGAGGAGGTGGTGGTGGAGGAGGAGGTAGAGGGGAAGGGGGGTGGAGAGTGAGGAGGTGGAGGTAGAGGGGGATGGAGAGGGGGGAGGAGGAGGAGAAGAAGAAGAAGAAGAAGAAGAAGAAGAAGAAGGAGGAGAAGGAGAACAAAATAGACGGGACATAGGAATTAACTGTAAGAGGAAGTATAGGAAAAGTTTGAAGCTGCTTCCCTTTGGCCGTGCACAGAGGCGATGGACTCTTAGGCGACGATTGCAAGATGACCGTGCGCGGTGTAGGAAATGTCCGATTGATAAATTGAGCGAATACAGGGGAAGGGGAAGAGAGGAGAGGGGAAGAAGAGGTCCAGAGAATTGAGGGGGGGGGGGAGGGGGAGGTTAAGTCAGTTGAAAGGGGGAAGGTCAAGAGAATTGGAAGGGGGGGGGGAGGAGGTGGTCAAGAGAAATGAAAGGGGGGGCCAAGGGGGGAGTGGGGGGGTAAGAGGTGGTAGCGAAGGCACCTCCCGCCCTCGCCGAGGCTGAGAGGACGTGGCAGGCCGAAGAAAGGCCGACAGGTTTTTCCACTTAAGATGTCTTGGTAATTTGTCGTGGCGGTCCAATGTCTCGTCATTTTGGGGAGTGGGTGGCGGTTATGGGGGGGAGTGGGAGGGGGAAAGGGCGGGAGAGAAGGGAGGAGGAGAAGGAGTTGGAAGGGAATGGGAAGGGTAGAGGATAGGGGATGGGGAGAAGGGCAGAGGAGTGGGTACATGATTTGGGGTAGTGGGTAGGGGGTGGGGTAGGGGAATGGGGGTGGGGGGTAGAAGAGGGGAAGGAGGGAGAGGGGGGGGTGGAATTGACGGGCAAGAAGGCGCGTTCTTCGTGTCTTAAGGCGAGGAGTCCGAGTGGCGAGGCATCGCGATCGTCCCGTTGCTGCATTATTACAAACGGAGAAAAAAAAATCGATTAAAAAAGAAAGAAAAGGGTGATAAAAACGGGAAGAAGAAATGTTAAGACCCGAAATAGGAGAATGATCCAAAGAAGCAGAGGAGGAGAGGAAGAAGCGCGCGCGGGAGGAAGGGGAGGCCGGGCGAGCGCGGAGGCGAGGGCGCGCGGAGGCCGACGCTCGCTCCTCGGAGGCCGGGCGGGCGGACGGGCGGCGAGGGGCGGAGTCACAGGGCTTGTCAGTCAGGGCGACATCAATCAGAAGGCCGTTAATCATGGCGGGTCATGATTGACTGCGGGACACAGGGGGCGGGGCGCGGCTGACGGCCAACACAGGACCTCCATTATGGCCGCCCGACCGAGGATGTCGGGGAGGGCCTGGACGCCGACGCCTCGGGGCGTGGGCGGCTTGGGCGGCGGGGCGGCGGCCGAGTGCATGACGCCGCGCATGGGACGCCTGGGGGCCGCCTGGCTTCGGTGGTTTGCCTTCTCTCTTGCCTCGCTTCGCACCTCCGCTCTGTTCCCTTCTCGTTCCTTCATTCCTTCGGGCGGTACCCCCCCCCCCTACTCGTTCCTTCGACGGAGAGGGAAGGGGCGGGGGCGGGGGTGGAGGGGGGAAGGGGGTGGTGATCCATCATGGCGGATGAGGCGGCCGGACCAGCAAGGGCCTCTGGCAGGGGCGCCTCCCCCTTCCCTTCCCCTTCCCTCCCTTGCCCTTCCCACTGGCCACTTGCCTCCGCCCCTCTCGTTTTTTTCTCACCCTCACTCCCTCTCTTGTTCTGCCTCTCTCTCTCTCTCTCTCTCTCTCTCTCTCTCTCTCTCTCTCTCTCTCTCTCTCTCTCTCTCTCTCTCTCTCTCTCTCTCTCTCTCACACACACACACACACACACTCTCTCACTCTCTCTTTTCCACTGTCTCTTTCCTTTTCTCTCTCCCATCTCTTTCCTCCCTCCCCTTCCCCCCCCTCCCCCCTCTCCCCTTCCCCCCTCTCCCCTTTCCCCCCTCTCCCCACCCCGCTTAACAACCCCACCGCCACCTGCCTGTCATTCACCTCACCTGCGCCGCCACGCCATCGCTGCGCCCTTTTCCTCTGCCGCCCCCTCCGCTCCGTCGTGCCCCCCCCCCCCCCCGGTCCGCCGTTGGTCGTCCCGTGAGACCGACGGCGCTGAGGGGGTCGTGCGTCAGCCTCGAGGTCGTGGCTGGGAGGCGATGGCGCGGGAAAAAAGATCTAAAAGGGAAGAGAGGGATTTTTTTTTTATGTGCTTATTTTATTTAATTCTATTATGATTGTATATATATATATTTTTGTTTTGTTTTGTTTCTTTTTCTTTCTTTTTTTTACCCCTGTCTCCGTCTTCTCTTTTTTCTCATTATTTGGCTTTGGCTTTGGTTTTGGTGTTTGATTTCGGCTTCGGCTGTGCGGCGATGGCACGGGAAAGTCGATCTGGAAGGGAAGATCGTTTTTGCTTTATTTGTTTATTTTATTTTAATTTTATTTATTTTTATTTCATATATATATATTATTTTTTTTTACCCCTGTCTCCGTCTTCTCCTTTTCGTTTTCTTCCTTTTGGCTTTGGCTTTGGTTTTGGTGTTTGATTTCGGCTTCGGCTTCGGCTTTTAGTCACGATTTTATTATTGTTATTATTATTTTTGTATAAATTAGCTTTCTGCTTTTTACATTTTTCATGATTTGATTTTTATTTGCGTTATCATTTCATTATTATTATTATTATTATTAGAATAGCAAGCTAGCTAGTTAGCATTAGTAACAACTGTTTCTCTTTGCTGACCCCTTCTGGCCGCGAACCTTGAGCTAAAGACAAACTCGACCTTGTATATTTCAGGCACAGGCTACTACTCATACGCTAACAGTGTGTCACCCTTGAACTCTCCTGTAGTCGAGGGTGGCGTCGGCGGCGACGGCGGCAGCGGCACCATGGGTCGCGGCGGCGGCGGCCCCGGCGTGCAGTTCTACCACCTGGTGCGCACGCCGGAGGACTCGGCGTCGGGCACCCTGGGCTCGTCACGGGACGGGCGCGACCGCACCTACGGCACCCACAAGGCCATCCCGGAGATCTTCCTGACGCGGCTGCTGTCCACCAAGGGCACGGTGCAACAGTTCGTGGACGATTTCTTCCGGACCATCCTGAGCGCCAACGACGGGCTGCCGCCGGCCGTCAAGTGGCTGTTCGACCTGCTGGACGACGCCTCGCGCGCCCACGGCATCACCGACCCCGAGGTCATCCACGCGTGGAAGTCCAACTGCCTCCCGCTGCGCTTCTGGGTCAACTTCATCAAGAACCCGGACTTCATCTTCGACATCGCCAAGACGTCCACGGTCGACTCGTGCCTCTCGGTCATCGCGCAGACCTTCATCGACGCCTGCTCGACCACGGAGCACCGCCTGGGCAAGGACTCGCCCTCCAACAAGCTGCTCTTCGCCAAGGACATCCCGCGGTACAGAGCGCAGGTGAGCCCCCCGCCGCCCTTCTTGTTCGCATGATTCGACTGATTGACTCATCGGAAACTGCTGTTCCTCACGCGTCCTCCGCCCTCCTTATTCACACTCCTCTCCCCCCTTTGCAGGTGAAGAGCTTCTACAGCGACGTGTCGAGCGCGCAGCCGGTGAGCGAGCAGGAGCTGGGCCAGCACATGCAGCAGCTCTCGGCCGCCCACCAGGGCCACTTCGACAACCTGGCCGCCCTCAAGGAGCTCTACATCTACGTCACCAAGTACCACGAGCTGGTGAGTGGCCTTTGCCCGGGGTCGGGAAACCTTTGTTGTTTGCGCTTGTATCGCTTAGGTTATTGGCTTCATCACGTGAGAATTTTAGATCAGACTCAATCTGATGACCGTAAAATATTAACACTAGATATATGAATAAATAGATTCAACTAAAATCAATGGCAATTCCCGTCCGAGCACCGGCGGCTTCATGACCGGCAGTATGTGTGTGCGTGCTCTGTGCGCCGTGGCGACGCACACGCGCACACGTGGTTATGTGGCGGCCAGCTGACCCGGTCGACGAGGCGGAAGTCATAATGACAAAATTGCCGGCTTGGAAATGAAAAGTTTTCCCGGGTCGGCCAAACACTTAATGAATGGCGTCATCTCGGGGCCGGACGCTCGCCCCGCCAGGGCCGGCGCTCGCGGGTCGGTCGGGAGCCAAGATGCCGGACCTCTCGTCGATCGACTTGATTTATTAGTAATTTATTCATTCGTTTACATGTTTGTTTATTCGTTTACTTGTTCCCCAAGGCGGAGTGTTCACGCGAGTTCCTTCTTCCCTTCGCAGATCCTGGAGTCCCTGGACGCGGACCCGTACTGCCGCAAGCTGAGCCTGGCGCACCGCCTGCAGTCCATCGGCTACATTCTGGAGTCGTACAGCCACGCCGGGCCGGTGGCGCCCATGCCGCCCCTGCAGCTGGCGGGGCAACTCTCCGAGCTGTGAACGCCCACACAATGACGCCGCCCGCGGTCTCTCCTCCAGGGACGCCCACCAGTGAACGCCCTCGCGATGCGCCGCGACCTGACGGCAGACACTCCCTGTGGACACGAACCCTTTTTATAGCAAAGACTTGGAAGCGGCTCCT